GGATAATAAGAATTGGTGCATTTTGAGTTATTAGGAGCATTACGATAATATGCATTGAATCTTATAATTCAAGTTTGTCCTTAGGGCACACCCTCTCTTCCCAAACCATTCCCAGTACACTGGGCAGCTCAGTGCCCCCAAAATTCTTCCTTTTGCCTTAGGTCAAAATTCACTAGTAAGGAAGACCTACGTAACCTCATTCTTACTAATGACTCATGACTTCTGAAAGTCAATCTTCCTAAGAAGATTTATGTTTGATTGGGATGGAAGCCTAAAGAAATGACACTTAAAGATGGAGATTTCAACAGCGAGACACTTGGCGGGGGCAGGTTCTTTTTGGGGGGGAATGGAGGGCGTGGGCCAAGTCAGTGTCTCCTGACAGCACTCCACGGTCTTCCTGATCTCCCTCATCTACGGAGGAGGAGGCCGTGGCTGAGAGGTGTTGTGTGCTGTCTGGTTCTGTCTTAGAGAGTGCGAGGGTGAGCACGTTCCCTTGAAGATGCTTCCTGGCTCGTCCATGAGAGGGCACTGGTGCTCTAGATTCCCCGTGCCCGGTCTTGTCTGAAGGGAGACATTTGGCCCACACCTTCAGGAGTGAGTGGTTGGCCACCTGCACCACAGCTGTGGCAGCATGCAGTAGAAGTGACACACGGGGAGCCTTAGGGGCTGTGCTTTTTCACCCAGCTCAGTGTATCTGTGGCCTTCAGACTCTGCCTGCCCCCTGTGAAACCTACTGCCCATATGTGGGAGAGCTGATCACTGGGTGCCATGGGTATTTATAAAACAAGGGCGACAAGTCTGTAATACGGTATTATACTAAAAAGGGCACCAAGACCCCCAGGACACCCTCCAAAAGAGGTAAAAGGGACTCTCCCAGTGCAAGGAAGGTGCAGAAGGGAGAGAGCAGGCAATTTCAGTGAGATGGCCATTAACCTTCACCCCTCACCTGAGTCGAGGAAGGTCTTTTGACATGAGTTCAAAGAAGAGACAGCTAAGGGCCCACACTCACGTGGACCTTCGGCTGGGAGCCAACAGCATGTCGTAGTTCAAAACTGATCGCCTGGTGAAAATCCCCCTCTCCTCAGTGTCATTCTCCTTCCTGTTTTATTTTCCTCTTAA